CGCAACTGATAGATTTCATATAAATACGCGCGATTTCGTTCATCCGTCAATCGAATTCGAGCTGGCTGAATCAAATTGCATTCGTAGAGAAGTTTTATCTCACCCGCGCATTTATGTATCTCGCGCGATCGGTCGCAGTAGTAGGTGAAAGATTATTTTCGATAGACACTCCCCCGCTCGATTCACACGAATACACTTTGCAATTGTTGCGAAAATCAACGAAAGTGAGATAATATTTTATTAACGTTATTCTCTCGTCGTTTTTTACAAGGAAATAATTCTGAATATTTCGCACGTCGACAAAACTTTGACACTGATTGTGAGTGAAATTTGTCAAACGAATTTTGCATTTTCTTCTTGGAATATAAAAATTTGAATTTCTTATATGATTTTAATATCTTATTATTTCAATTTATTTTATATAAATTTTTTTTTTTCAAAAAAATCGAAAAAATTAATAAAATAAATAGAATCATTCTTGGACTAATTTCTTTTCACAATACATCCTTCTTCAACTGAAGATATAAATTCCTTTAGAAATTGCATAAATTCTGATGCGGAGTCAAGAGGACGTCTCGGACATGCAGGATATGAGAATTAACGAAGGTGGAAAATTTCCCGCAGCGCGGCGGCTTAATTTCGAACGCGACTCGGCTTAAAAAGACCGCTCGGTCAAATCGGTTGCCATTCACATCCGAGAGATAATTTCGGAAAATCGCTCGCAGAGATAGCACAAACTGTTTTAACGTTCGGTGGCGTTCGGTGCAATGTTGTTCACCGCCTCTATTGATCGAAGCTCACAGAGGCATAGAGTTACAGGCCACTGACGGCGACTATATCTCTTTCCTTGTCTCTCCTCACCTTGTTTCTCCTCCCTTCCTCCCTCTCCCCCCACCTCTCTCTCTCTCTCTCTCTCTCTCTCTCTCTCTCTCTCTCTCTCTGTCTCTCTCTCTCTGTCTTTCACCTTCAACCTCTCTCCATTCCATTCTGTCGACCATTTTCTCTCTCTCTCTCTCCTTCTGCGATCTATCTCTTTCTGCGTATTTGGTCCTGAACTATCCGAATTCCATTTCCGTCCAATTACAATTCATCCCCGTTTCAAAGCGGCAGTCACGCCGCGTTCATTTCGCAAGCGCGCCGCCAGAAGCAATCATTTCTTTTCTCCACACTTCACCTCTCCCTTCGCCTTTTCAGCCCGGTCACACTTCGCCTTTCGCTTTCTTCTGGCTGTCTGCTGACTGGCTAGCGATGATGAATGCTCGTTTGAAATGCGAATCACAATGTATAATCTTTACACTATCAAAAAATTGCCTTTTCAAAAAACGCCATATTTACCCATTAGCGGTCATTTAAAAATTATTATAGAAGAAATTCTATTTTTTAAAAATAATTTTAATCATTTACAAAATAATTGTTTAAAGAAGTGTTGCTTCTATTGTTATATCTGCTGTTATTTCGCGTGACTTGGTTACAAGATATTGACTTGGTTACAAGATATTGTCATATTTCTTGATTATCATTGAAGTGATTGAACGTGTCATATAATTTAATCGAAAGCTACTATAATAAAAAAATGTAATATAATTCGTCGATACAGAGTAATATCAAAATTAAGTTGAAGTTAGTAAGATATTTTTATATGTTGAATATACTTTTAGACTTGGAGCGATATTTCATCATTGATATTTTAAAATTGTTTCATGTATTTAATTTAAATTAGATGCAGCACGTTTGCGCATGGACACGGGATTGCACACCTGTGCGATAAAATGAAAAGCATAACTAAAGTGAGAAACGGGCACTAGAGCGAAGTTTAAGGAGTTTTGGGTGCGAGGGTGAATCTTTGCTGAAGAAAGTTCACCGGAGAGAGAAACGGTGAGAAATTAAGCAGATGCTCGACGTTGAACACCATAAGAGACATAGATTTTTTTCTTTCAACTTCAGTAACGACATAAGTAACTGGATCTTCACCCTCCATTGCTCTCGCTCCTCTAGCCAAAGTAAGAACGAAGGTCCCTCGATACTTTTGCGAGGCGATGCTTCGGGCGTATCCATCCAGAAGAAAGACGTTGTTGAGCTATACGAGACTCCATTACTCTCATTAGACCCCGTGAAAGTGCCTTTTTTATGCTCCGCTAGCTAATCTCTCGAAGATCGATAAGCTTCAAGACGAAATGCTTCAACACCGTATATAAATAAATAACTATAAATAACTAATTATTTTTTTTTTAAATGACGTCTCTTAATAATACATTCACTAATATATTTTAATAAAAATTTGAACGCACAAATTATTGTAATTGATTTCGGTATATTATTATTTATTGTGCATCGAAACTTATCGTGTTTGTACACCAATTATAGTTCATATGTATTTTCTCGAAAGCTTTGATTCGATACGTGTTGTATTCTATGGCCCGATATAACCGCAATATTTTCCTTTGTATCCAATGTTTGCGATGTTGTTGACATTTCTTTGATCGTTGCAGTTTTTGATAAGCGGTTGACAGTTATCGCCTCCAGCAACACCAGCAATTGTGATAATGATCGAACGGTTAAAAAAACCGAGTCGAAAACAAGTTTTATCGCAAAATTGATTGATCGAATTTAATGTAAGTTCTATTTTTACAAAATATTATTCAAGACGTATACAAACTTTAAAAATGTTAATTCGTAACGTTTCTTACAAAATATTTTACAGTGTTTTTTACAGTGTAATTGTACTTAAATCATGTTATTCTTTCAATTAATTTTTGATAATGAAAGAATACGTATGAAATATTTAATTTATTAAAAATTGCAAAAAGATCAATAAAATCAAGATTCTATAAATTATTTAATTATCTAATGCGAATTAAAAAGAAAATATACGACGAGACGAGTTAATTATCGCACAAGAAGAGTAAAAACTTGATCTCGAATTGATCTCGTCCTTCGTTTCTCGCGCGATACGTTTCATTGACTTTAACAAATAGCTCTTGCTCATAAAATCTACGGATCCGAAACTCGTCGCTTTTCTCGTCTGTTCTTTTCCGCTCGCAGATAAATTTATCGAGGACGTATCGTTTCGACCAATTATCCAATTAAATGCCTACGCGTCAATTCAACGCCTGCGTCTTTGCTTTGGAAAAAGTGGCGAGCGTCGAGAGCAGCATCGTTGATTGGCTGACTACCCCCGCATTATGCGCGACATCGTCATATTCGTCATCCCGGACGTGCGTATTGCCCGGATGATGATGATGATGATGATGATGACGATGATGATGATGATGATGATGATACGGATTATCGAGGATGAAGTATCGCGCGCATCGTGCACGCCGTCAACCCCACACCGTGAATTATCGGCGAGAGACAGAGAGAGAGAGAGAGAGAGAGACTCTCACCTCTCGGGGGCGCGAATCGAGGTACAATCGCCGTTCTTGCTATCAAACGCGTAAACGGATGTCCCGTGATATCCGCGTGACGCACAGTTCCGTATTATACGCGGCGGATTCTGCAGCATCCCGCATCCGTGCGCATCTCGTTTACCCCCTTCCTCCTCCTTCCTTTCCTCTTCCCCACCGGCCAGATTGCAGCAGCAAATGCGATTTCTGCACCGATCGGCGCATCGTCGCCTAATACGGTCGGCGATTAGATTTTGATCGAGATGCGACGTCGCACCTCTCGCTTCCTCCCTGTCGCTTCGAAATCGCCGACTTTGACACGATGTCCAAACGCTGCTATCGAATTGACCCGTTGCTAATGCACAATGTTGCTAAAGAGTTTCGCGATCGCGAGAATGAGACGACGATGATCAGCCACTGATACCTTTCGAGATGTCGAACGCGATAAACGCCTACTGCACGATTGTTCGCTCGTTGTCGTTAATGACATGCATGATTTAACGACTTAATTAAGATATAAACGAATAATAGAGCAATTAAAATTGACGTTTATCACAGTTTTTGTGATCTTATATCTTCGCTTTTTAATACAAGTTCGTACGTATATTTCTTTTTTTTAATTAATGTCGATGTCTTTTAAAAATAATATGTCAATATATAATCCGAATGTATGATAATTTATATCGCTGAACTTACCATTTCTCTCGCCGCGATGACCTGATTCCGATCGACTCCGATGTTCATTCGTAAAATCTGCCAACAAAAATATTAATAAAGAAATTAATATAAGCAATTAATAATAGACGCAAAGCTTACTAAGAGTATCAACACTTAAACAATCATGATATTACATGAAATTTTTAGCACGAGATGTATATTTTCTGAGCATCTTAGAATATTTTAAGTTTCAATTTTTCTGTTAATATACATTATAAAGTTTATTATTTTTATTTCATTATAAAAATAATAAACTTTATAATTAACTTTATATCACTATATGTATTATGTATAAATAGGATTTTGAAAACCATAAAAAAGAAGCTGATGCATTATCTCTTTAATATTTTTTCCAGTCGTGGGAAGCAACGCTTTAAAAAAATACAACTAGGTCGGAAAAAAGTGTTTCTCCTACTCTTTGTTCTTGTTCGACACAAAAAGCATCTTTGTATCGAATATAAAAGGTACAAAGAGAATGTAGACAGAAATATAAATATGACATCACACATTTTTATGCAAACAGATTGATGCTTTCAAAAAGCATTTCAAGAGATTTTTGACGATATCAAGTGCCTATTATAACATGAATAATAATCCATATCGATGTATCTGCATCAAGGCCCCTTTAAAAACACGTATTTGCATCAACGATTGAATTAGGAATTGAACCATTGCAATCCATCTTCCTCCTTTTTTCTCGCGCAATTGAATCTTTGCGGTGAATTTCTCTTTTTTCTCGCGCGTATGCGCATCAATAGCAATCAAGGGATTATTAACTGACCGCGTCGAGCTGCACTCAGGGACACTTTTTGCCGTGCAATCTTCCGTTCGCGTCGATCGCCGTCGTCGTCGACTTAGCTCGCCCATCCATCGCAGGCGCATATAAAAGGACCGTAGTGGAACGCGGTCTGGAGCAGTGTAGCACGACGTATGTCCGGTCTCGTGCCTCTCGACGTCCTCCCCGAGTGATCGATCTCGCGTAACGCGTTATACGTACGTAAATATACATATAGAGCCGTTCCCTCGCACGAGCGGCACACCGTGAGATCACCGAGAGTTCTCGGTTGACTGGCAACGCTATAAAAGATGTCGCAGCCGGAACAAGGTGGCAGTGCACAGTGCGACAAGGACATGTCGACGTCAAAGAGTAGCTCGATGTTGCGCCTGAATCAGGAGGGCCGTCGTGGCTCCGCCGATTGGCAGGACCAGGGCGACAGCGACTCGGAAGTCAGCGAGAACGATTTCCTCACCAAGGGTGCTTTCCTGCTCACCCCGAGCCACGAACTGAGCATGGAGAAGGCCGCCACCATTTGCGAGAAGATGAACTTCCGGTGAGAACCACTTTGGTGAGCCACTACGGCCTGCCGTTTGATACGAGGATTTTCCTTCCGGATTTCGATAAGAGAAAAAAGAGAAAGAGAGAAAATATATGGGCATAATATTTTGATAACTAACGAGCGAGATAATTAAAACGTCATCAGTGTTTTAATTATTTAATTATTTTATATTGCATCCTAGACGTTAGAAATTTACACTATTATTATATATTGCAAAAAGATATACAAGTACTTGTGCAAGATTTGAAAAGATAAATATTTAGAAATTTGTAATTTAATTAAATCTTTAATATCGCTGTTTTTATAATCGATAATGAATGACTTCGTTCCATTGTGCAACGACTACTTTCGCTTTTTTCATCTTTAATAATTTACCGAAATGATAAAATATAAATTATACTGATATAAATTATATGATAACAAATAAATATATAATAAATATAAAATATAAATATATTGATAGATTGATATAAATTATATGATATAAAAAATATAAATATATTGATAGATTGATATAAATTATATGATATAAAAAATATAAATATATTGATAGATTGATATAAATTATATGATATAAAATATAAATTATATTATTGAAGGGATAATTTATATTTACAAAAATCAATTACTTTAAACTCTTTGTAGTTTGACAAATAAGGATTACAGAATTATATATAAAGCTAAAATATATGCACGAAAACCGATTTATGCTAAAATTTTATACTTATTAACTCGTAAAGTTCTCGCTAATTATATTGTGTAGATTACTTCGACCTTCGCTTAGTTAATCCACAAGAGATCCTAAGACCTCGTGCTCGAATCGAATCTAAAAGTAGTTAAGTCAGCTGGCGCGTCGCGCGAAGTAGTACAAGCAGTAACAGGTCGGACAACAAATACATTAAACCAACTATATATCCCGATGCGGTGTGCGTGTATGTGTGTATTATGTGCATAAACTGTTTTTGCGCAACCAGCGCATGACAACGGCAAGAATTTATTCATAATTAATATCGTAGAGCCAAATAAAATAAACTAAAATAAACTAACTTTTAATCGCGGAATTATTTCGACATATAAATATATACATAAAAGATATTAATATTCATGTGTCGAATTCCATGTTTGAAAATATTTTTTATAATTAATTTTTATATTATAATCAAAACGACCTTCCGTTATATATGATCTAGAGGCGCATTTTCTTTGACGAAAACCGCTACTGGCATTCTCTTCAAGTTCAGCAACATCGAAGACTTTCAGGCGGTATATAAAAAAGGTTTTCACAAAGTGACAGGCGCTCGTTTCTACAAAAAGGTGAATATTTTGTACCAACGAATTTTCACGCCTTAATTAGCTTATCACAGATATTTTAATATCGCTTTATAGATAAATACTAGCTGACAAAATAATTCTGGCGGCGTAAATAATTTAACGCATTACCGCTTTGGGACTTTTACATCTGGTGTTACCTTTCTAAAGCTAAAGTACCTGACAGAGGAATGCCTTATAGTGCTTTTGCAACTAATCTCGGGATCTGCATGGATTTTACTCTCGCGTAGTACAAACGTATGTTGCGGATATACAACAAAGTATAAAGGCTTTACTTGCTTGAAAGTTAACGGGAATATCTTAACTCGCGTAAGCACAATCTATTTATGTATTTACGTAAATTTAATTATGGCAATATCGAATAATATGCGATACTTCACATTAAACACATTAAACGCTACAGCGTTAAATATTCTCTCCTTTTATTATTGAATTCGCACACTTATTCTTTATAAAATATAATTTTACAATTTTTTTTTCAAATAAATTTCTCATCAGAAATAAATGACACGTAATGTGCATTATAATTCATAATACTATAGGTCGCTATACCGTGTAGACCGGCAAAGATCTTCACCGTCTATGTTCTTGATGTGCCTGAGGAATTGCCGGAGGACGATATTAGGCACGCTCTCTACAAATATCGATCTATCGTCGAAGTAACCAGGCTACCTCTGAATACGGGAACTGTTTGTGAGTCACGAGAATGCAAATGCTTCTATATTTCTCATACCACCGCTCTTTCTCGGAGAAAGTACCGGCTCTTATATAGCGCGTAACGTGATAAACTACTCTCTTCTTTGAACAATATCGACAATATATAATTTATTATACTTCAACATATAATATTAAAAATGTAACATTACATAATATTTCAGTAATATGTTGTACTTATACACGTACATATATATATATATATTTTGCATACATAATTTAAGATTTCAATCTCGATAGTAGATTTATTTCGCAAAAAGCATCTCTGAAACATTCTCGAATAAATACTTATAAAATATAAAATATAATTATAATATGCGAATATAAAATACTTTTCGCATGATGCGCGATGCATCGAGCTATGTCAGCATGCAATAAAATGCTCGTGTGTTAAATAAATCAGTGAAGGCCATCAATGACAAGCTAAAGAGCGACGCGCAGAATCTCAACGAGCCGGCGACGATTTATACGGGGCCACCCGTTATAAGGGTTACCCTGGCCAATGTGGAGGAGACCTCGATGCTGCTGAGCCGTGGTTTGGATTTTTATGGGGCCACATATTTTCCCACCGAAACGCCCCATCCAGCCGCTCAACCCCTCGCCAAATACAAAAACAACAGGTGGGAAGTGAATTCTCTCGCTCATGCAACGCGAGCCGCGCGTGATTCATTGAACGACAAATTCGTAGCCGTGTTAAAAATTACTCGGGATATATGCCATATCGTCCCGGGCAATATTTATCGTCCGGTATTCATTAATTATTGAGACAATACCATCGACAATATGGTACAATGGCGGTTGTTTAATCGCCCGTTACTTCTAAATTAATACAGCTGTGATTAATTTGCTGTTTTAAAAATGATATTATAAGTAGAAATGATTTTTCCTACAAAACGCATGACCCTTTATGCGTTCGATATTCTTCGTATTTTTTTCTTATTTTTATTTTCTTATATCGTTCTTATATCTTACTTATATCGTTTGCTTCAGCTCGCTATAAAAAAAATCTATCTAATCATACTTTAGAATATAAAATAAAAAAGAAAGGTATATAATTGTTACAATTTAAATTATAATCTTTTCTAAAAAAAAAAAGAAAATGACGGCAGCGCCATTACGTGTGATCCGCTCTTCCACTTGGCCGTAATATCTTTAATGGAACATTGCCAATAAAACACAAAAGGTTTGCGGGCATTAGGGGAAAACGGATCGTTTCAGAAAAAAAAGAGAGGAAGAGCGGGCACCCCCTTTCACGTGTTTCGCCATTGCAGATGGATCGAGCTGGCGTCGATCGGCGCGGGACAAAGAGTGAGGGACCTACTTCCGGTCTTTGACAACGCAGGCTTCAACAAATTGCCACCTCCGGCGAGCCGTGTAATAAAACCGCAAAGAAACTGACACGTTCCCCCTTCCCCCCTTCCCGGCTGACACCCCAAATTCTTCGACGGCCGCCACCGCCGCCGCCGCCACCACTGCGATCGATAGTAGCGGCGAATCGGAGGGAGGACGCCATCGCGAGAACAACGCTACGACCTGAGGATGACGACGCTAACGCAGGCCAGCTCGATCGAAATTCAGAAAATGGCACGAGCATTCAATTCCAACGCGATTTTAATTCTCATTCGCGATGTTTAAGAGAACGAAATCAGACATTCCTTGCATTTAGAAATAATGCATGAGATTAAGTACAAGGAAAATTATATTTCTTGAATATCGAATGAATAATCGAGTGAAATTGTATTTTTCCTCGGGAGGGATTTTAAATTATTGATAGTTATTACAACATTTTTTATTTGATTTTGTCGATTTCTCATCGTTTCTGAAAATTTCTCTATAATCAAAATAATTTTTCAGGTCAGGAGGATTTTTGGGTCGAGATAAGATTAAATAATTTTTATATTTAATTTACTCGAGAGAAAAGGAAATTATATTTGTATCCCTCGCTTATAAGAGACAAAATAAAATTTGAGAGAAATTTTTCTTTCAAATATATATCTAGTAATATCTCTTAATGAGATTTATTACAAGATTTGACAGAAACAGATAAGACGATTAATTTTTCTCCCTAATTACAATTTCGAAAAAATAATTATTATAATTAAAGAGATTAATTTAACTGTAAGTGGTATTACTACTCTGAGTTTTATAAAAAAAATCCAGTTGAAACAAAGTACAGCTATATACCTCTCAGATGCATGTGCGACCGATGGAGGGTCAAGCGTAAAGCGCAAAGAGAAGCTGAATTATACGCTCGCGAATCGTAGAGCCATTTCTGGGCATGCAGACGCGTAAGATACATCGTACCGTTTCGCAGGTCGACGTGACTCCTCCTCTCCTCTTTCTCCTTCATATACACGCACATACACACACGCACACACACATACATACATACACATATGTACACATACACACACAGTAAATGTTCCTATTTCTCCGGCGGCAGAAAGGTCAGCGTCGCCGTATCAAACGCAATATATATATATAAAATTATGTTCCTATCAGTCCCCTACTTCAAAACGCCAGTCACGCGAGTAATATTATCTTAAAACACGCCAGATTGATTACACACGCCAGAAATTAATTTGCCAAAGCGCTGATTAACAAGGTTCTCGCGGAGTAAAAGTAATCGAACGTCATATATGTGTTACTCACGAAGATGAATCATGATTACGGTTATAGATCTTTGAAGTTGCTTAAAACGTTAACCTTGTTTATTACATATTTTATTAATAAAATTTGTTTAATATTAAATAAATATAACTCGTTAGCATATATTTCTTTTTAATTGAGAAAGAAAAAAATTGTATCATATATCTGCTTTTATTATATTGACAAATCTATAAATGATTTTTAAATCAATGGATTAAAGAGTCTTTAATTATAATATAGATTGATATGTGTACATGAGTACAATTTTTAATTATAATTTTAACAATTTATAATTACAAAGATTACATAGATCGATATGTACATGAGTACAAAATAGGTATTATTTTAAGAGGATATTTTCAAAATATAAATTCTCTGTTAGAAAGTTACAAATGTATTAATAATAATAATTAACAATTAAATATATATGTATGGTTAATCTATTTTTGTAATAATTTATTAATTATTGCATATCGATTTTATGACATTTAAATCTGACGGCCAATATTTATTGTTTACTTAATTTATATATATATATATATATATATATATATATATATATAACTGTCAATAAATGATAAACAAATATATAATATTTTTTATTAAAAGTATGACATAAATTTTCGAATGCCTAAATATGCACATTAAATATTTTAAGAAATGTTAATATGCTTAGTTGGATTACGTTAAAACAAAATAAAATTAACTGAAAGATCTGCTCTGAAAAATCAAGGAAGAAAGTTTTTATTAATATATTTTTATCATATATCTCAATGTGGCTATACACATGCTCAAAATTCCATTAATATCCTTAATTATTTAATAGATGTAACATCAATAAATATTCAATATTGGATTTAAAAGAAGCTGAAATATTTGTAAATAAATTTAATCTTTTAATAAATTATAACATCGGTAAAGTTCATATAAAAAATGTAATTAAGAGATTTGTAACACGGGAAAAATATTGAATGTGGATGAGAGAATGAATTTATGAAGAAGGGAAAAAGGGGGAATATGGTTTTTTTGTTCCTTATTCGAGAGTTTAGTCGCCGACATAAATGTCGAGGCGAGCTTTTTATTACTGAGCGGCAATTCAATAACGATGACATTTACTTTGCGTGCATGCAATGTACATGCGCTTATTAGGATATATATTATGCCACTCGCGCGTTACGTAACCGGTAATATATTCCGTTATATAAACGTTCCATTGCAATTACGTAATGCCCGTATATGGATAGGACGTATCTACTTGATGACTTGATCGTGATATATGCAGCCATACTTCGCCATTCGCGTGAAAGCCATAACGATGTATATATCCCCTTATTAGAAGACTTACAATTCGTATTACAATGTATAGCGTATATTTATCATTTTGTGCTACTTTTATTTGAAAGAATTCTGTGTTATCGTTCTCTACATAAGTGACGAAATGAATGCAATAAGAATTAAGAAAAGTGGAATGTTTATCCTTCTTTCCTTCCCCCTTTTTCCCTCTCATGTAATTTTAATTAGATATACTTTAAAAAATTAATTTTTTTAACATTAATTTTTTTTTAACATTTTAACATTTTAAATATAAAATAATCATATTTAAATTGTTATCCCTGTGTAAAATAATAAAAGAAAAAAAAGAGAGTTGAATGAAGAACAAAAAACAAAGATTATAGCAACGTCTTATAACATCGCACGCGCTTTATTTTTGATTATTTTCAGCGCCAACGGGGACGAGAAGAGTGCCCGTCGCTTTTAACAAGGAGAGACTTTATCAGGAAAAGAGCCCGTGGAAAGAGAGAAACTTGGCCGCGATGAGTGGTGGTCACAGGAGGGTATAAGTAATTCTCCGAGAATGCTATTACGTCCTGCTGCGCCTTCGCTCGGGGACGAGGGCTATTTCAACGCGTAATATGAGAGAGGGTGGATATGGGAGGTGGTAAATGTCAGCTATGTATGAAAGAGAGTGCTGCCATAAGAGAGCGAACGTGGCGCGAACAGAGCCGGGTTATCCGCTATCGCGCAGAGCTTGGGGAACGGGGGGGTTATCCACGGTCGTGGCAAGAAGCTCGGGGGACCGACGATAAATTGTGTGCGTCTTTCTGAAAAAATCTCAGGTAACTTAAAATATTGTACGGTTTTTCGTTCTAAACATATGGGAGAGAAAACACGACCGTGGGCGAGGGAATACCGAGTCGAATTGGCGTTATTCGCTGTTTGCGGGTTATTCATTACGAGCTAAAAGACGGGCAAAGTCTTCCATACCTCTCACATAATTTTACGCAATTTAATTAAGTATAATGAGCTACAACGCAACGTATAATTTAGCGAATATAATTAAAGGATATTTATAAGTTTATAATAGGTCAATCAAGTACTATTAATAGTAAGTTGAGATTTAAAATATATAAAGTTATAATAATATGCTTCAAAGTATATATATTTTGTAATGAAATAATCCAATATAATACATATAAATATGCCTTGTAATAATATACATTTAATTTATTTAGTGTGTTAGTTCTCAAGGTATATCTTTCATAATTTTTCTTAAAATTTTATTTTAATTAAAATAATATTACATAATAATAATTAATAAATAAATGTATATATTATTATTTATAAATTATAAAATCTCCAAATGTGTGCAAGGAAGGATTGCATAAAAATGATGTTATCCTTCAAATATACTCTATGAAGAATACACGGCAACTGCCGCCAATTTACCCACTCCAAATTTTGACGTAACGTGGCGGATTTTTAGGACGAGTTAAAGTGAGAAACCTAGTTTTGTTAATGGCCGTAACTTTATTCCAGAGGACGAAGCCCGAGCAGCCGAGCTTCGCTCACCAACAAGTGCCATTATCACCGCCTCTCGACTTTGTAACCATAGACTAATTTCGCTTGAAGAGTCCGCCGGACAGTTAACCGGTTTTTTTTTTAGTCCCCGTCTCCGCAAATTCCAATTTTGCGCGCAAAGAAATTTCCGAAAGTTAAGCGCGACGCGTAATTGCGTTTTCCCTGTGGCAATTACAAAAAAATACGCGGTCACGCGATTGCTAAGACTTTCGTCGGACATAATTTAGAGTCTATCCAGCGTGAATCAACTTAAAAAACAAAAATCAAAAATTCTAATTATTTTTAATATGAATTAATTTTAATCCACATATAGAGAGCATTTTGTGAGGTATATTCAAGCTATAAAATATCAATATAAAGAATTAAAAATGTTGCAATATGGCCGAAAAAGCAATCATTCAACTGAAAGACTTTATAACATCTTGGTTTTTCAATAATTTATACTAATTTGGTTATTTATCACAGAGATCGTCTCTAATTATTAAGATTACTTTTATTTTATCATTGAAAAAATCATCGAAAATCTCCTTTAGTCTTTAAATAAAAAGTTGTAAAGCAATTTTTTTTGCACAAATGTATCAAATATTATTAAAATAGATTTCATTCATTTCTAACGAGCATGTTAATAAAACACGATTCAATTATATATAAAGTTATTATTAATAACTTAATAATAATATACATTAAAAGTTATAAAAATTATTAATTATAAAAGTATAAGAAAATTAAAAATTATAAAAGATATAAAAATTAATAATAATATATACATATATAAATTTAAAAATTCAAGTAATGAAACATTGTAATATTAACATTAATTAATAATTAATTTAAGAAATATAAGATAGAATATTTTATTTCAATTTATTTCATAGTATGTGTAAAGTATTTCGTGGCATTTTTTCTTCTTTTCTTTCTTAAGTCATACGGCCTTCGGCTTTAACATTGGTTCAATTCCTTACGCGGCGAGTATTGTTTACAATCGTAGTACGTATAGATTTGTTGTTATTCGCGCGTCGAATCCTGAACGGATAGGTTTCGTTGTCATTCGTGTGATGAGACTCGAATGTGAAGTACGAACTCTGTGTATCGTCGCGTTACCTTTCGAGACAGAAACACCATGATTCGCTTGATCGTCACACTTGTGTTAGATTATCAAATCGCACTATTAATTCTCGCGATAAACGACATGCAAAGCAACGACGGTTATTTTTCGAAATATATACATTTTGCGCGATAAATCCAATTGTAAATAGCAATTTAAACGATAGAGCATATTGTTTATATCGTCACAATTAACGATTATCTAGTCGCGCAATTAATTCTCGTGATAAACAACACGTAAAATACGACAATAGATACTTTTATTATTTAAATGCTAAAG